CATTTTTTCCACCTCATAAAATCGGTAGTAAAACTTTTATAGATGGAGGAATACATCTTAATAACCCAACATCAACTACATATAATGAAGCTATCCGATATAGTGTGCCACAGAAAAAGATCTCTGTGCTCTCTCTAGGTACAGGATACTACTTACCAGATCCTCAAAACCCTGATCAATATAGAAATCTACTTTTTTGGAAACAAAATCTTCCCAAATTAATATCTGCGCAAGAAGATAACGCTGACCAAGAAATGTACAACAAGTTAAAAAATCGCTATCAACGATGGCAAGTCTTTTTTAAGGAGCCCGTAGGACTAGATGAACATGAATGTATTTCTAGTCTTTTAGAATTAGGCTATCAATATATAGAAGAGCTTGATTGTTCCGATGAAAATCCTATCAATAAGTTGGTAGAGTCTTTGATCTCTAGAGTTTAAATTTTTACATTTCATCACATTTTAAATATAATTATTTTAGAATGATAAAATTGATTTTTTCAAGACTTATTCTATATAAAATGCAATTTAATGAGTATGATTATATATTATTAAATTTGCCAGAAGAAACGACAAATAGCAAATAATAAGTTGTTGTAAAACCAATGTACTTTTAAAACCTGAACAGGACGTTGGACGGAACATGAAGGTGTATATCAGATATACACGTACAGTGGCCTACCATATTATTATGGACACTTTTTAAAATTTTATATTGAGCTAAATAAATAAGATATAAATCTAAAAATAATACAAATTATTATTTAAATCTAAAATTTTTAATAAAAAAAGTTTGCAAAATTCTATGCAGTAGTTTTTGAATTAATTAATGTGATACAAATTTGTGTAATGTTACACTTGTACGAAATTAGTAATTTGAAAAAATTAAATTTATATAATTGGTTTTCATATCCCGGCCGGGTCAGTAAAGTGAGGTTTGGAAATATTTTTTTAATATAGCTAACCAATAGAAACTCTCTATTTGACAATCATGTGATATAGAGCGATACATATAATAATTTTGCATATCAATTAATTTGTAATAGATCAATTTTTTTTTATTAAATTTGAATACATATTCATAAATATAATATTTATTACTTAATTAAATAATGTTACAAAAAATTTTTTATAAAATTTTTCTTATATACTTTTCTTGTATCTTGTTAGTACTTTTCTCTTTCGCATGTGCATGTATATCTGGGTTTGAGATTTTCGATACTTATCTAAAACCTAAGGTCCGGGTACAAAAGCTTTAATGCTAGTTTGAGACACTCTTTGTGTTGACTTCGAAGCTAAAATAAATAAATGCAATGCTCAAACTAATAAAGAGAATGAATTATCTGCTTGTCACATAATAAATAAAGTAATAACCTACTTTAACCTTATCTATCAACTAAATTACATTACTTAATACCCAACTATCATCACGTCCAAAACCATTGGCAAGGCATCCACCTTGCATAACTTATGTAATGCTAAAAACTAACCCATCATGCATAAACATTACTTTCCTGATCCTGGGCATAATCATAAACATTTTTACTATCTAGTAGGATCAAGATATAGTGAATTAATTGAAGTGATCATTTTAACAGTTACTACAAATCCATTAGGATTCAATGCACAAGAACACGGGCATGCTACAGAAATGTTGATATGCATTGCACAGGTTGAATTAATGAATATCAGGCACGTACATGCCGGGAGACAAGTCTCCTATTATTATTATGTATCCGGTAGCCTGCCATGATCCGCAGCATGTTGGAAAGATGTTGGGAGGTAAGTCGATATCAGCAAAATATTAGATATCTTGCTCTTAGGCCAAGAGTACTAAGAGTAAGCTATCGGAATATCCTAATATTTTGTTGTTATGTTACTGATATCAACTTACCTCCCAATATCTTACCAACATGCTGCCAAATTAACCATAGCTGCCGCAACAAATTTGGACCGGCATATCCTCGATTTTGATTGGCTAACGGCCGAGGATCCTCAAAATTTTGGCCCAAAATTGTTTACTAAATTCCGGCCGGAATTAACTTTTTAATTTTTTCATTACAAAAATAGAAATTCTTAAAAAATA